TGTGCATTTATTCTTCATCAAAAATAATGCATGCACACTTATATGAAAACAAGAAGGCATTGCCAGGCTCCCAGCAATATGCTGTATATTTAGTTATCAAAGCATAGTTTTTGGCAATAAAACTAGGTAACTGCTGAAAAACAGTTTTGATATTGTTAGCCATGCCTAAATATGAAATTCATGTGACAGATACTTGCACTTGCCCGTTCAGAAAGACAGGATCCATCTGTAAAATCCAAGGTCTATGCTGGATTCTGACTGGATGAACATAAGTCTCACAGAAAGCTTAATAAGTTTGGGCTTTTTTGCCTCCAGCACTGAAGTCTCAATGTTGCTCAGCTCTACTGCAAACACAAATATTTCTTTTGTCCTCTGTCTTTTGCTAGATTTTTTAAGCTGAACAAGAGATATAAGAACTATAAACAAACACTAGAGCCAGCTGACAGCCAAATGAAGTATGAAAAGCAAATTTCTCCTCCAACCACGTTACTCTAACACTGCTCTGAGCAGACAAAACCCACTCTGAAATGTGAATGCTTCTCTTCCCAGCAGCTTTCACCTGTTCCACCAGCTGGGAGGGCTCTGTGGGCCCATTCATCACAGCTTCCATTCTCTCAGGCTTTTCCAGGAGGAGGGTGGGAAAGAAACCAAGACATGAGATTTGTAACAAGAAATCCAAATATTATATCGAGCCCTTTATCCTTTTTTTTTAGCACAGAAACCTCTCTTGAATGTGGAGTAAAGAGCAGTGACTTTCTTCACTTGAAACATGGGAAATAAGCCAACACATTTGTGGGAAATCCTCTTCTAAGGCAGTTAGAGGTAAATTTTCAGTCTGGTTAAGGAAAATAATTACTGCAAAGCAGCAGAACTTATTTCTTCCATTGTTCCAGCTTTATAGGAGAGAAGGGAGGGGGACAGCCAGCACAGACACCCCTCAATTTCTTCCAGGAGTCCATGTCAGCTGCCAGGTCCCCACTGACTTTCAGCAGAAATGGCAATTTCCATTTTTTTAAAAAAGCCCACAACCACAGCATTCCAATGTACCTAACCCAGACCACCACCACAAAAGCTCTTAAACCTAATGGCTCTGTGAAAGCACCAGCTCAGGTAAGGAGACACAACAACTCTCCACTCAAGGAAAGTTCAAAGAGGACATAGGACATTCCATGAGCACAATGGACTCTGAATAAGTTTTCAGGAAAAATAACTCTGATAAAGGATGTGTGGCAAGCTGGCTCAGGGGGACTACAGCACATTTGGTCTCTATAGAAACCCACAGCCATGAATTGTGAAATTTTATAGACATGCATACACAGCATCTCCCATCTGCATCAGGCCTCTTTCTGGTACATAAATGTGAGTTGGCAAGAATACATGGAAATGGAAAAATTGAAAAGGAATCTTCATGCCTGGGAAAGGAAGAGAGAAATAAGAGACAGATAAGAGACACTTGACCTTCAACAAAAGAATATGAACAGAACACTGGGGAAAAGAGAAAGGAGAAATCAAAGCAACTTTGTGTATTCTAGGGTAAGAATAAAGGGAAGTACCTCCACTTGCACTTGTGCAGACAAGATTGATAAACTTATGGCAGGGAAAGAGGATCAAAGTGTGAAGCATTTAAAGAATTCATTTGCCTCTAATGGCTCTGACATATCTTAGGTACAACTGGAGAAAAGTCATCTTGTCTTAAGGTGCAATCTGAAAGACATCATCCCCCTGTGGGGTCTGTCTGAGCCAGCCCCAAGCTCCCAGAGCCAAGGAACATTTCAGAGGCAACAGACTGGGCATTGCTGCAGTTTAATTCTGTGCTTTTTTAGATTTTTGGCTCTCTTCTGCAATTACATTTAAGGATTTTGAGATTTCTATCTTCCACCAAGGTAGCAAATTCACATAGATCAGTGCTGCAGCTCTGTATTTTGCAACCCAAACCACTCTGGTTTTCTTCCATCAAGCTCCAGAAAATGCAGACACCTCCTCTGGCTTTTCTGGCAAGAGGCAGGTAAGTGCAGAGGCAAGGAGTGAGGCACGAGTTCAGGGACGTGCAATGAGTTTTTGTGAGTCAGGAAAACCTTGTCAGCCTCCCAGGCAGCACTTCCAGTGCACAGACACAGCTCATGGAGTTCATGGTTTCTGCAGGGCTTCTCAAACACCTCACACAGAGACTCCTTCATACAACTTTAAGACCTCTTATATAGTGGCCCAGATCTGACTAACCCCAGGAAATGTCATGAAATCCATTTTCCATGGCCATCTACCACCACATTCTTTGGCTGCAGGCATCCCCAAAATTCACATCAGTGCCTGCTGTGGTTAGGATTTCAGTGATGTGGATACTTGGCTCTGGAATAGAATTAAACCACTTTAACACACACACAAAAAAAAAAAAGTATTTTCTCTTGTAGTTTTCCCCTAGCAAAGGCTGAATCCCATGACTGTGCTGTGGCTGGGCCCTGCAGCCAACAGATGCTGCTGCTCTCAGAGAAGAGCAGGATTTTGGGATGTATATTTTGCTCACAGATCATCTTTGGAAAGGAGAGGAGGCAGAGGCAGCTGGCCAGACTTTTGGAGAGATTTGCAGGAGGAAGAGCAGGCACAGGCCATGCAGGGACACAGCAGTAGCTCCTGAGCAGGACACAGAGGGAGAAGGGAAACACTACAAGCCCAACCACTGTTACACACCCAGCCCACATTGTTTAAGTAACCCCACAGTGCTCAGTTCTCACCTCCCAGGTAGGAATGGCTCAGTGCTGTGACTGCTCCAGCAGCTCCACAATCTCCAAAAGCCTCCTGCACCATCCTGAGAGGCAGAGGAGCAGCAGTACATCTGTCACACAGCACCAACCCACCATCACAAGACTTCTCCCCTTCTCCATGCCCACCTTTTTCCAGGAATAAAACTTAGAACTTCTCAGACTCCATTTGGAGCTGCACAGGGTGCTTGGCTGCACATCCCTTGGTGACAGATGGCTGGAGCTGAACAAGGCACAAAGAACTCCAGCAAACAGGCACTGCATTCAGCCCAGAGGTTGCCTTGACCCTGCCACTGACTGACCCTTTCATACCACAGGACACACACCAACTGTGCCTGCTGAGATGCCACCACAAAGCCTCTGGGGGGAAGAGAGGCCTCAGATCTTTCCCCTCATTTTGGTGTTTTTCATGTGATTAAAATCAACTGAAAGCAGCTCCATGACACGTGGCAATTATAAATCCAGACCAAAGCACCTTGAGAGAGCCACAGTGGGGAGTTATATTGGCACAACACTGGAGTTCAGGTTCGTTTCCCAACCACAGCTGAGGGCGTGGAGAAACAAGGGGGAAATTCAGAAATACAGGGTCAGAATAATAACTTCAAAACACACAGCCAAACCTATCAAACTCTTCCTTTGTCAGTTTATGCTTCCCTCTAGCAAACAAATTAAAGGATACTTCAGTATCTTAGATTTGGGCACAAAATAAAGAAATCAGGCTAATATTAAAATCCATTCACACAAAACTGCAATCCAAACATTTGTCAATATCCAGACACAGGGCCAAGTTCTCAGCAAGGGAAAAGCAGCACTTTTCCAATCCCTATAGTGCTGTTATCACACCAAAGGGTCTGGAACTCTGCACATGACCTCAAGCAGTGATGGGCCCCTCCAACAGGACCTTGCAGATGTGCAAAAAGCCAAGTTAGACCTGTGGCTTTTACAATACTGCTCGGGGAAAGAATTTACAGTGGCAGGGGTTATACAAACACTAGTGGTCACTGCAGGAAGAGAGAGCTCAGCTCAAAGAGCCCACGAGCACAGCACAGCCCTGCTGTGTAACAAGGGAGCAGAGTCAGCAGCAAGGAGAGTCTGTGGGTGAACATCCTGTGCAGAGACTGTGCCTGAATCACCATCCCACTGTGCCCAAGCAAAACAGGAACCTCAGAGATGGGTATTATTTTGTTTTGATGAAATAATTTACACTTCTGCATGACTTTGGTAAGAGACAGCATTGTCTTGTGATCTTCATTTTGCAGCATCATAGTCCCAGACTAATTTGTCTGAGTATGCTAGAACAAATTTTGATCAATATTATCTCCTTGATTAAAAACACTGTCTGAGAGGTAAAAGGCTTTCCTGGTTCTGCTAAATGTTCCATATTTTGGATACTGAAACACAAAGCAAAGTAACCAGGCATGTAGGAAGTGGCCTGAATTATAAGGACAAGAGGTTGACAGATCTAAAGAAGCAACCATTGACCTTCTCAAATGAAAGTGTAATAAAGTGAAAGTACAACTTTTGACAGGATATACATCATCCTGATGTGTTCCCCCAGAAGCAAGAAGAAAGCCTTTTTTAACAAAATGAAATTAAAAACATGACACACAAAATTCCCATCTTGAATACATTTACTAAATTATATATGATAAAAAAACAACCCACCAGCCAATAAGCCAGAAAAATGAATCCTAAGCAAAACACACCCTCAGCTGCTTTCCAAGGGTTAATTATACTGATAATGGCAGTCTGCATAGCTTATGTATACACTGGATAGAGATCAACAACAGCAAGCATATGTAGGTATGTGAAGGTAAGTCGTTATTCAAATCCTAGGGCTTCAAATGTTCCTGTTTAAACAAAGGCATTAATTTGATGTAAAGAGCACAAGCTAAATCACCTTAAGTGCTCAGTTATTACTCCTATATCCTCACAATGGCTACAGGGCAGTGTTTAAGGTCATGAGGGAGGTTCCCATCTGCCTAATTATAGCCTTTGCCATGTGTGTACAGGTACCTCTGCCAGCCCCAAACATCAGCAGATCCATCTGCCTCCCACCCACTGCACCACTTGCCTGTTTTGTGCATTATTTGGGAGAGGGAGCCCATTCATCCACCCTGTTACACTTGTTTTGATCCATCAACCCACACACAGATGGGGAATTTCACATCCCAAGGAACACTGGCTCCACTAATCCACTGCCTCCCAAGCCAGGCAATCACCTGGCTCAGCTCATGCCCTTACCTTCCTTGGAGCCAGTGGTGACAGCAGCTGCAGTGGTCCCTGATGCTCGTCCCACGGGGCTGGAGTGCTTCCCAGCCCTGCCTGGGATTTTAAGTCCACTTGGTTTCAGCATGGTTCCTGTCTCCTGGATCTCAGGCTCCTTCTGCCAGTGTCTCAAGAGCTGTCCCAGTGCCACTGTTCAGGCTTCTTGATGCTGCACCTCTTCTTCCATTGTCACACACCTGGGAGGGAAGAGCACAAAGAAATCAGATTGAGAATGAGTGGGACAGCATGGACCAGGCTCCCAGAGAGCAGTGCCCAGCCCTGTCCTCACAGCTCTAGAAGAGTCAGAACCTCTCATTTCTTCTCCTATAAAACAAGGGTGACTATTTCCCTCATCTCCCATCTTCATGTTACTTTTTTTTCACCAATCTCAATGTCCTGGGCCAAAGCTGAAACTTCCCAGAACCATTAAACAAAAATTTAAATACAGTTTGGGATCTGAGTAACTGAAATGGTTTTGACTGGTTTCAAATTCTAAAGCCTCAGCTCAGCATCTGCCAAGCCTCAGTTGTGCTGTCAGAACCCTGACAAAGGCAGCACCTTTCATGCACAGCCCTGAGTCTCACCAGCCTTCAGAGCAGCCTCTCCAAACTGGCAGGGGAAGGAAGGGTGAAGCCAATGTCTGAGATGGGATTTTCAGCTCCTTTCCTTACAGACAAATCCAAAAAATTACCACAGAAAATAAAGGGTATTTGACCCTATGGATTTACAAGAAATTTTGAAATAAAAACCCCAGAACTTCCTGAAACTCAAGCATAACTCTACCAACTATTCATTAGTGAAGTCACAACCTTTCCTTATGTCATTCTCTTCCCAGTAGGCAAATGGAATAAAACCTCCAAATTCCTTACAAGGATGTTGCATCAACACATCAACAACCACAACTTCATGACAAGAAAGGAAAAATAAAGGAAATGACTAAGTTGTAGTAAAAAAAAAAAAAAAAAAAGGCAGTAACATTTCTAATGGATAAAGAAAAAGAATTTAAAAATTGAGCCTATCAGCCAAAGGGAAGCTGAGGCTGGGAGTCAGCAGGCTGGGATGTGGAGGAAAAAAAGGTGGCAGCAGAGTAAGTCAGGCACAATGCAAACCTAACAGCAAGGAGAGCAATCCAAGGAGCAGCCAGAAACTGGAGACACTGCCTCGTGGGCAAAGCAGGGAGGCAGCAGCCCTGAGAATCAGTGCAGCAAAGATTTACAGATGGTACGAGGAGGGAATTGCAATAATGGGATGGGAAATGATTAAGGCATGAGTAAGGACTTCAACACAGGCTGGGTCAGAGTGAGCACAGGGCTGGCAGGGCTCCAGGAAAAGCTGCAAGCAGACACAGAGGACAGAAAACCACAAGGAGAATTCCAAAACTGTGTTCCCAAGGGCTCACAAATATCTAAAAGTGCAGTAGGAGTCAGTCATCCTACATCAGCTTAAAGACACAAAGAAAGGAGGGATCAGCAGAGACATCCTGGGGAGGGAGCCTGAGCAAAAACCTGAGGGATCAAGGTCTTTTATCCATGTGCCCACAAAGTTCAGTCCCTGGGGTGGATTCAGACACCTGCACATATGAACATCACACAGAGACCAGGCTGGCTAAGAGAGGCAGGATGCTCCAATCACATCACCCACAGCAGAAATAACAGACAAGAGCAAGAAACTCTTGTTAAAGAAGAGAAAAAACAGCTTTCCTGCAACAGAGCTGGTGAGGAACAGGTGCCAGAATTGACAGGAGGATGCAGCTTCCAGCTCTGTTCAGCATAAAATAGGGAGCAAAGGAATTGAATCTGGAGGTGAGAAACAGTGATCAGCCACGTTCCTTTTATGTGCCAAGCCATCAGATGTGGCATCTCCTGCCCACTCTGTCTCACAGGACATCTTTTGTCCAGGGCTGGCTTTGGTTTTATAGACCAACTTGATTTCTAGCTCTTCTGCTGGCAGGTGATGTTTTCTACCCTGAGATCTCAATCCATCACCTTCAGCTGAAACTTTGCCCTCTTCACAACATGGCCTCACTCCTGAATTTACTCATTATCTGGCCTTACATTTTGGTTCCAAGGTTTGATGTTGTACTCAGGGTTAAGCAACCTGGGGCTGCTGGTGCTTCCACACAGCTGGTTGAATTAACCAGGAATGTGGATAAGAAGATAAAAAGACACAGAGAATGAAAAAACAGTAGTAGAGAAGAATTTAAGTAGGGAAGGGTGCCAGAAGAATAAAAGGATTTTACAGTTTTTCAATCTTCTGTTAGCATCTCTGGATCCTTAACTTTACAGCCAGAACCACATAAACTTTAGGGAACAGTGAATTTAGTGTGTTCCTCTATTTTGCTGCCCATCTTTGAAGAGACAGGAACTTCAGTTCATTCTCTCTCCACATCTCATTATCCCTACAGATCAGCTGTCCACTCCCATCACAGGATATTGTGATTTTCTGCTTCTTCTCAGGACAACTGGATATTTTTACACTGGGGAAAGAAACAAGAGGAAGTGTATTCCCACTACATAAATATTTCTGCCAGAAATCTTTTTTACACAAACACATTTGCTTTCAACACACTAATGCTAAAACCAAATGAACTCCACAGGCTGCTAATCATGCTCCCCTAGAACAGATAGATGCTGTTCTGCTTTTTAACCACCACAACCAGTTCATGGCCACATAAAACAGAGTCAAAAACTTCTCAAGTGCCAGTGGGAATCACAGCAGATCCCCTGCCTGGCTGTGCCCATTGCATGCCAGCTTATGGGGAGGGTCTGGCAGGGGACACTCACCCACTAAAGTGTCCCTGTCAGAGGCTGAGGCTGACCACAGCCAGGGCCAGCTGCCTCAGCACACCCTGCACATTCATCACCTCACAGGGAAACGAGGATGAACTGCAGTCAATTTTACTATAAGTGCAGTTTGCCTGTACTACACAGATAAAAATAAATGTCTGGGATGTTTTTAAAGAAGTCTGTGCCTGCTGCTAGGGACAGATACTCCTTCTCTGTCACCAGTTTCTCCCCCACTTCAACACAAATACATATGAGCAGATTTTTAGGAAACTCTGAACACCGAGCATGGAGCTCTTCCAAATGATGCCATTAGGTCATTTTCACCACCCAGAGCAATGCTGCCTGAGCCAGCCTAGTCCCACTTCAGTTCCTGACTGAGTGATGCAGCTTTTATGCTGCAGAAATATCCTTGGCCTGGGACACAGGCCAGTATCTCCACAGGGCACAGTCCTACTCCATTAGAGATAACAACATGCTCTGTGTTCCCATACAGAACCCTCAGCTTCCCAACAGGCTCTATTAGCAGAGCCCTCCTGAAAAACTTATTTCCAGCTCTTCTAAAAAATCTGCTTCCAGCAGTAGAGGCTGAACACAGGCAAATATGTGGTGTAAGAAATACATGAGCCATCTCTCTTCCCTGATACTGAAAGCCAGAATAGTCTTTAAGCTCTTTCCAGAAACTTCAGGGGAACTGAAAATTTTTATTCTCTACGTTGTTTCTCATTCCTATTCCCCATATTACCTGCACAAGCTGTACACTTTGCCTTCCTGTAAAACTCCATGGAAATGTGACTTTCTCCAGATACACTGTAAAGAAAACCCCATCTGCTCTTCTGGATACTCCAGTGCCACCAGCTCTACTTATTTTGTTTTTATTTCTTTTACAAGATATGACCGACAAGAAGCATTTTCTAAATGTCTGCTAGATTCTCCCTGCAGTCTTTCCATACTGGGATGAATGGCTCTGTCTGTTCCCACAACCAAGAAAAGCATCCCAGGAATGCATAAATGACCAAAATATTCATTTCCCCATCTTTCCACCAGAAAAAGGGACAGCTGAATGTGAGTCACACAGGCTCAGGAAGGGGAACAGTCTCGGGTGATGCAATGATGGTTCTTTATTCCCTGCTGGTGCGGTTTACGGGCAGAGATTCCCGCGGTGTCTTTAAGAGGAAGCAGGGGCGGGCTCGGAGCTCCGTTCAATGTTCAATATTCAATATTCAATGTTCAATATTCAATATTCAATCTCTGCGGTGTGCTCCGGGAACCTGCATCGTTCCTCCCGTTCAGGTGGGGTTTTTGCTACCTTGAAACAAGAGGGTTTTTTTTTCCCCTTTCTTTCCCCTAGCCCGGAGGCTGGACCGGGAATCCTCGGCGGCTTTTTGTCTTCGGCTCGTCCGGCGGGACCGCCCCGAACCGGAGAGCTCCGGGGAGCCGAACCAACACGAGAAAGGACCTCAAAATCCACCAAGGACCCTCCAAAATCCACCAAGGACCCTCCAAAATCCACCAACCTCGGCTGCTGCGAGGAGCAGACCCACGCCAGAAATTCAGCAATTTCCCATCCGCTCCGGGCTGGTACATGAACTCTTCCCGGACTCAAAGGGACCCGTCACCATTTCGCTTTCCCAGGCATTTGTATTTTTCTTCCCAGGGCATTTTTGAGTTGTTTTGTTCTGCTCTGGGTGTGGGTGGAGGGTAAGTTTCTTGGAGTTCATATCTAGCGTTTATTCAGTCCTTCTCTGTGCCTCGCGGGCACCCCTCTTTTTATTAAAAAAAAACCACAATAACAACAAAAAACAAACAAAAAAAAAACCCAAATAGTTTTTGGGGTAGGGAGTTTCTACTTTGACCCAATAATACCAGTTTCATTAGCAGAAGAAAAGGGAGTTACCGAAGCCCTTTTCTCTTTAGAGGAAACACTCATTCTAGAGTGTATTCTCCTGAAATTTGTCTCCAAAGCTGAGACAGGAACTGTTCTCAATTAAGTACAGATGTACAGCCAAGAAATCCCTTTCACCAGGAGCAATATATGTGGATATGCCTGGCCAGCATCATGGATAATTGCATCAGAGCAGCACACGTTAAAAACAAACAATTGAAGGTGCTTAGAGTCAATTATTTCATAAACGTGGTAGAGAAATAACACAAACCAAGGACTGGGAGAAAGTCTTTGGCAGTAGAGCTCATCCACAGCTTCTCTGCTTCATCCATCCCTCTTACCCAGGATAACATCCCAGCCAGGACGGGCAAAAATAACAGAGCAGACACCCGGACCCAGCACAGTGCCCACAGGAAAGCCCTTAGGGGGACCCACAAAATAAGGAACTTTTCACCTCGACTTAACTGAGTGCAACAATTGCAAGACACAGGAACATGCTGCCAGACACCAGACTGAGCTGGCCTGGATC